CTGAGCCGAAGGCAGAGGCTTAACCCACTGAGCCACCCAGGCGCCCCCCATTTTATCTTCTTTAATCCTCTCACCAACCCCTAGGTACCTACCTCAAAGCATGGTCCTGAGGATTAAATGAGCTAGTACAGGTAAAGCCCCAGATAAAACCTGTGCATAATAATCATTTGATATATCTTATCTGTTTCTCACCAGCAACACCATCATCCTCATCTCAACCTCAACCTCCCCCTCCTCATCTTTATTACTATCCTCACTTTATAGGAGAGAAGTCTGAAGCCCAGACACATTCAGTAACTTGGAACATCTGAGAAGAGAATCAGCAGCACGGGAAGAGGGTGTTGAAATCTGGGTTGTCTGCCATCAGAATCTGATTCCTCTTGCCACTTTTATAACACTTAACTACAAAAGGCTTCCAATGTGGTAAAATAGTTTAAGCCCCACCCCCTTGCATCCCACTCCAAGATAATTGGACCTATAGAGTTCAGTAGGATCATGATCAAATTTTATAAACTCAGACCTCAAAATCAAATAGGATTTCAGGAAGTTCATGTGTGAGTCAGGGCGCCTCAGCCCTCATGCATAAACAAAGGGCCCATTGGAAACACTCTGCATCTATTCCACACACCAGAATAGACTCAACAACTATGGAGTCTTTTCTAGAACTTCAGAACTAAGTTAGAATATGTTCAAAAGGACCATAGGTCACCCATTTACTCATTAAAATACCCTTTAAGAATTCTACCATTCAAAAAAAAACCACACAAAAAAAAACCCCAAACAAACAAAAAAAAGAATTCTACCATTCTCTCACTGACAAGTGTAGACTCTCCCAGCCTGGTGATGGATGTGACTGACATAGACCTATTTAGAAATGCAGCCATTTGAAATTTCCAGTCAGATTCAGATCAGTTTTGTTAGCTGAGGATTGAAGTTTGAATCAAAATTCACCCACACGTGAGCACATTTTCATATGCCCCACTGATAAGAGGGAGAAAAGAAAGCTCTTGATGTAATCTGATGCTGAGCAAATGGCAGACACTGTCAGTGTGTTATGCTTGTGTTCTTAGAATCATTGATCTTTAAAAATGTATTAGAATTTCTCTCATTGATGCCCTAAGTGTTGACAATAAAACTTTCATTATAATTAGAAATAGATATGAGGGGCTCCTGTGTGGCTCACTGGGTTAGAGCCTCTGCTTTCAGCTCATGTCATGGTCCCAGGGTCCTGGGATCAAGTCCCGAATCGGGCTCTCTGCTCAGCAGGGAGCCTGCTTCCCTCTCTCTCTCTGCCTGCCTCTCTGCCTACTTATGATCTCTGTCAAATAAATAAAACCTTAAAAAAAAAAAAAGAAATAGATATGAGACTAATGAAATCAGGATATTTAACCATGATCTTTGTTTTGTTTTTAAGTTTTTAAAAACTTTCTCCTGTGTGTATGTGTGTGTAAGTATCACAGATCTGACAGACGTGCAATGAAGTCCTAAAGAAAGAGAGCTGCCAGGATCTTTACATATAAAATTAAGTTAATTCTACAAAGACCCTGTGAAATAGATATTACCCTTTTTTTTGCAGTGTGAAGGCTCAGAAAAGCCAAGTATTCCACAAACTAAGAATTGGCTGGCCAGATATCCATGGCACCCACTTCTACTCTAGGGTACGTTCTCTATTGTAAAGGCAGGAAAACTGGACACCATCTTTCCCAAAATCCCTTGCAGCTAACATTGTGGATATGATTTAAGCTCTGCAGGACAGATGCCCTTGTAAGACTTGTTTCTGCTGGCAAGCAGGGCTGTGGAATTGTGCTATGGCACCATCTTGGTTTCCTGTTGCTAACTTCGAGGGCATTGAAAGGCAAGACAACAGGGTATTTGTCATGGGTATATTAAGTTTAGCTGGCAAGCCATTGCTCTGGAGCCAGTAGTTACGGGGGAGGCATCATTCTGATCCTTAGATGACAGCTATGGTGATGTCTTTCTGGAGCCAACAGCTCTGTGTTACCTTCTCGTTTTCCCATCTTCTTGACCATAACAAGTCCTTGGCAGGCCAGTTCTGCAGGGTGACCCTGAGCATCCTCTTGGAGACTCAGCGCAGAACCTGCTCCTCTACCCTTCCAACTTCTCCTGTATTAATTCCTTACTGATAGAAATTTTTATTTGTTTTATTTCACTGAACTCTGACCAATATATTAAGTAACATGCTTACTCAGCCAAGAATGACAGTCTAGGAAACCCCCAAATCCACACCCTTCCTTTGATGGAAAGCTATGGAGTAAGACTCATTCTGTATTTGGTAAGCACAGATATCCAAGGAGTGTGGAGTGGGGGGCCAAGTTGGCCAAGTAGGCCTGCCTGCCACGGGGTACTGGTTCTTTCCCTTGTAGTCTACCCTGTGTTGTGAACCTCCTTCCTATTCACTAAGCTAGGATAATTTTCATTTGTTTCCTAAAGAGAACATATGCAAAGCACAAAGGAGCTCATTATTGGCTTTTCAGTCATAAAAGCCTAAGCATCAAGATCCCAGACACTAATTTTCCCCAAGTTGGGATAGATAGACAAATAAAGAGAAACAAAAAAAGCCAAGTCATGTTAAGTTCATGAGAAGGCCCTGAGTTCTGTCCCTCCCACCTTCATGCCCAGACGGTATCCTGGGATGTGTGTATTGAAAGAATATAGCAACTCCATGTCATTCAGGAGTCCTAGAACAAAAGAATTCTTGTGCCCTTTCCTGGAGACAGCCTAGAGAGGCATCTGGGTCTGCTGGTACTCAGGGCGGCATAGGAACAGGTGAAATGGTCTCTCTGAGCATCCAGGCATGTCCGCACCACATGGGAGGAGCATCAGGAACCCACCCACCTGAGCTGTGGAACAGCAGGCAGAGCAGATAGGAAGGAGAAGTGTGCTCAAGACCCCAGAATGGAGCCTCAAAGACCCTTCTGACTGGTGACTGAAGACCAGCTAGAATAACACACAGCAGATGCCGTACCGCATTAACAATGGTGAAAACCAGAGTCTCCCCCACAATGCCCAATCCCTGCAGGACACTGTGTAATCATAGAATTTAGACAAAACCCCAGAGAAAGGTAGGGGTTTTTTTGGGGGGAGGGGGATGAGTAGAATAATCCTGAATTGAATGAAATATAGTTTCCATGATTTCAATCCAGCTATACAATTCAATCCAGCCATACAAAATGAGTTTACGTGTCTCATATCCATGCCCTGAGTGTTGTATTGTCTCGCTACCCAGCTTCCAGTTACTTCTCGCACTCAATCTCCATAGCCATTGGTCTAGAATAGGGTCAGCAAAATACAGCCAGGCCTATGGGCCAAATTCAGCCTACTGTCTGTTTTTTTTTTTTTTTAATTTCCTTGCCTATTTTTGTAGGTTAAATAAAGCCACAGTTATGCCCCTTCTTTATGTGGGTGTGTTTGCAAAGTTGAGTAATCACAACAGAAACCGCGATGGTGCAAAGCCTGAAATATTTACTCTCTCTTTACAGGGAAAAAACCATTGCCAACCTCTGATGTAGAACACAGGCTCTTCCTCGCTCCGTCTCATCTTCTCCCCGCACTCTGGTCCTTTTGCTCCCACCATGGGGGCAAAGTCTCAAGTCAGAATCAATGAAAAAGCTCAACCTTTCTCTGCTCTTAAAAATTATATCTGCATCCGGATCCAGCTTTTCCTTCCTGAATTTCCCCAAGGATGGGTTCTCTCCTGAGTACTTTACTGTCCCCTTGTGTTCTGTGATCCTGTACTTTTCTGGTCCCCTCCCATTTCTGGCTTCCTTGTATATCTTTTAGGGGCAACTCTTCCCTTGCCTGCTTTTATTTTAATTTTTAAAAAGATTTTATTTATTTATTTGACCCAGAGAGAGAGAGAGAGAGACAGCACAAGCAGGGGAAGAGTCAGGCAGAGAGAGAGGGAGAGGCAGGCTCCCTGCTGGGCAAGGAGCCGGACACAGGGCTCAATCCCAGGACCCTGGGATCATGCACTGAGCTGAAGGCAGCCGCTTAATGACTGAGCCACCCAGGCGCCCCTCCCCTGCCCACTTTTAAAGTCAGCGTTTTGGGGGTTGTCTTAGGCACACTGATTTCACTCCGTTCTCCCTGGATGCCCCAGAGTCTTCTTGGGAGGACCAGGTTTCACAAAGTGTTCACCTGTAAGGAGGTGACCCGACTCAGATTACTGACTTCAGAGGTTTATTCTCTGGCCCAGAAAATACCAATAGTTTATCCGTTGATTTAGTCAATATTAGTCTTGAGCAAATAGCTCAAAGAGTAGAATGACCACTCAGTAGGCAAGGATCAAAAGACAGGATAGGCTAGTGGTTAACTCCAGAGCAAAGGCTCTGGAGTTAGGCCTATCAGTTATGGATTGGAAGCTCCACCTCTAATTATCTGTGAAGCCTTGAGGAAGTAACCCACTTTTCTCATCTATAAAATGGGAATGAAGTATTAGAACTAATAAGTTTACTATTGAGGTTTAATAAATACATCAACTAATAGAGTCTTATTCTCTTTGATCTCAGTTTTAAAAGAGATGCGTTCAACAGTTTCTCTTTCTTTTAAAAAAACAACAGGGCAGCGTGGGTGGTGTCTGATTCTTGGTTTCGACTCAGGTCGTGATCTCACAGTTGTGGGACTGAGCCCCACGTCAGACTCTCTGCTGGGCATGGAGCCTGCTTGGGGTTCTCTTTCTCCCTCTCTCTCTCTCTATCGTTTTCTCTGCTTGCTTTCTCTCTCTCTCAAAAACAAACAAAAACCCCATAATCCATTTAATTTCTTTAACCATATGTGAGGTTGTAACTAGAAAATATTTTACTTATATATAAGCTAAATACACTAAAAGGCTTTTCCTAGAGATTTATTAACAGGTAGGCAGGTAGGAATAGAAAATGGGAAGTTATCTGGAAAAAGGGAAGAATTCAGTCTGAGGGATTTCAACAACCAGTTCAAAGAGTAAAACCTCAAGGAGAGAATGGCCAACCAGAGGTGCTTACCTTTGCAGCCCTCACAGGTCAGTGCATTATAATGGTAACCAGATGCTCTGTCTCCGCAAACAACACATAATTCATCCCCTTTTATTCTCCCTGCGGATGCACTCATTCGGGCCTTTTTTGTTACAGGAATCTCTGCTACCTCAATCTCTCCTTGGTAGAGAGTCTCTGCTGGCATTCGCCTGAGTTCATATATTCCAGGAGAATACCACTCCTCGGGCTGCTGGGGATAGAAACCCAGGTTGGAATAATAGGATGACGAGGAAATCTGTGGCTGAACTTGCGGAAACGGAACATTGTTGTATTGTGAGTATGGCTCTACTTCTAGATTCTGTCCCAAAGGTCCTGCTGCTTGCTCTGTTAGTACACCTGGACAAGAATAACAAAATTGGAATTAATGTCTAAGAAAAGACAAAAATTCAACTATATAAAAATTGACAACTTCTTTACAGCAAAAAAACCCAAAAACCAAAAAACAAAAACAAAAACAAAAAAACTATAAAAAAGATTTAATGACAAATTACAAGCTCAGAAAAATATCTGCAACATAAAAGACAGACCAAAGACTCATATCACTAACAGGTAAAGAGCACTTGCAAACCAATAAGAAAAATTCAACAACCTCATGGGAGATAAAGGATATGAAAGGACAGTTTTTAGAAATACAAACAGAAAGTGTTTTATAAACATACAAAAATGCACTCACCTTTATCAACAATTAAATTTAAATTTAAATTGCAATATAAAATGACCATGTTCATCCTCAAATAAGTAAAGGTTAAAAATGCTTAATAGAACACTCTTAGAAAAACAAACATTCTTAGAGGACAATTATTCATTATCCTTCAGCATATGAAACTCAAATACTCTTTTAATGCAGACATTAGACTGCAAGGAAATTTATTTTAGAAATAGGCACGTATTTGTGTGAAAAGCTTCTGTAAAGATATCAATGTGTAGGAAAATCTGTAAAAACTATAAATCAGGAACTAATTTAAATATCCACCAATAGGAGTCTTATTAAATTGCATTATGTCCATGCACTGAAATATTATGTAGATGTGAATTTAGATCTATATGTGTTGATAAAGAAAGGTTTCTATGATATGATGTCATTTGAAAATATTAACTTATAGAATAATGTATATATTTATGTGGGTATTAAAAGAACAATGTGTGTGTGCACACACATGTGTACAAGGCAAGTTTCTGCACGATACAAAAGAAACTGGATGATGGTGACTGGAAAGTGAGATTGTTCCATTGTTTTCTGAGGTAGGAGGTTGTATGGTGTTTATGCTGTTTGTAACTTTGCCATGTAGATTAGTATTTTAATCATGATAAAACAAAGAAGGAGCTTTAAAAAAAAAAAAAGAATGCAGTGCCTGGAACTGTGAGTATGGTTCAAATTCTAGTCCTGTTACTTATTTTCTGTGTGCATCTTGGCAATTTATTTAATGTCTTTAGGGATCAAATTTCTCTTCATAAAACAGAGAATAATAGCTACCTCATTAGGTTGATGTAAGAATTAAACAAGATCATGTATGCCAAGCACTTTGCTAAATGTTTGGCACACAGAGAGTGCCAGATAAATTAGAGTTGCCATTAAAATAGTAATAATAATCATTATTCCTACTGCCGTTATTACAAAATGAGCCTTTTATCTATAAAACCTCTAGGTGTTAGAAAACTATCAGGTTGTGAAAGTGCTTCTATTTCCTAGAAACACAAACAATGACTCTTTAGAAAATAAAAATATTTAAGCTATGCAAAATGCTAAAAATTTTAACAAACATAAATAAGATATAAAAGAGTATACAAATGTGTCTGATTCTTCAAAGCATGGTCAGGCAACCCTAGCCCAAAATTCCAACTCCACCTCTGATGAACAGTGGAACTTTGGGCAAATTGCTGAACTACTGATGAGCCCAGTTTTGATGGCAGCAAGCTCGGGATGAAAATATCTATCCAGAGTTATGTTGAGGATTGAATGAGGTAATACAGATTATTCCACAGTTCTTTATGAAAGTTTCGGGGTCACATGTGTTTTGGAATTCAGAACTGATTGACTGTGTTTTAGAACAGAACACAGTGCTCTTTCTCCCTGTGTGGTCTGGGACAGAACTTGGAATCAAACACAGCAATCTTCCATGGTGAAATGTATAAATATTCATATGATGCAGAATAAGTAAATAAATAAAGGCCATTAATATCCTCCCATCCATTTGGGGTCAGGTTTTTGTCACCAGAGAAATTTGTGTCAAAACTTTGATTAAAATGTTTCATTTTTAAAGCTTTTGGAATTTAAAACTGTCCATTAGGGACTGTAGATCTACGCATCTATAGATTTGCAGTGCCCCCCAAAATTGCTGTGGTTGTTATTATTGCTACTACTACTGTCAGAAAACTCTTAGAAACTCTCTCCTAGTGCCAGGAGCTTGTATATTTGCAATTCTTCTCATAAACTCCTATGAGGTGGGTAACATTTACAAATGAGTAGCATGAGGCACAGAGAAGGGAGGCAACTTTACTCCTACATTCCTAAATAGCTGAGATTTGAACTTTGACAGTCTGACTTCAAAACCATGTGCTGAATCACTCCTCTCTGGGATAATTTCAGATGTGTGATGCTTTAAAGCATGAGAGTTCACGGTTTTCTCTTCGTCCCTCTGTATCTCAGCTGGTGAGTCCCTTCAATACCTCTGTTTGCAGGTAAGCTGCAATCAGGTATGTGAGGTGCCACATGATCCTACCTTTTCTCTTCCAGCCATTTCTCATGCTTTGAGTTACCTAATCCTTGAATCTGCATTGCAGGTTCCAGACTCAGAACCTCCCTTCCCTGCCCCCAGCTCCACTGCTTCCTGAGCCTAGAACTTTCTGCAACACAGCCATTTGCTCACAGAGCTTCATCTCACTATTCTCCACTTAATCTATCTCTAAATTTCCTTCTAACTATAGCTTCTTTTGGGATGTCTTCCCTGACTCTAGGTCCCAGGGTGTTCTGAGTTTAGTTACATGGTACTTACCTATCCTCCGCGAGCTGCCCTTTGCTCATCTCTAAAGAAAAGACTTCATGCTGGATGACCTTACAGTTCTTCTTTATATCTAAAATCTCCATAAGTGAATGACTAAAAGACTATGGGCATGAGAACTCAAGGCTTTTCTACAATGGCAAAGTGGAATATATGTGTACCAAAAGTTTGTTGAAAAGAATGTTTTCTGCATTGACCCAGAAAAAGATTGTCGAAGCACAAAGTATATACTATCTGGGAAAAAATTAACTTCCTGTCTTCTATGCCTGACTTCTCCATATAAAACCAACACTAAGTGATTATATCTGAAAGACAAAGTTTTGGCAATGGTGCTTTGTCTTATTACCACAAAATAGAAGAATATGAAATAGAATATGATTACAACAAAAAGAAGAGATAAAATATAAGCAAAATCCTGATCTATTTTATAACCAAATATGACTAAAATTTGTGGAGTGAATGGGTTTGAAAAGAACTGAAAAGCATTAAAAGCATTACTTTCACTTATACTTATTGCTGGATTTTATCCCCCAACCGATCTTACCCTGTCAATTACTGGTTCCCACCCGCAACCCCTGCAGATCCAACAAGGTAAAGCAACTTGCCTGAGGTCAAACAATTAATGACAGAAACTGGATTTTACAAAATCCAGGGAAATGTGTAATTTTTCCTCCTCACGTGACGATTCCAAGATCTCAAATCATTGTTTCAATTAAGCTAGTATTCTTATAATCAATAGATAGCATGTAGTCCCGACTAAAGTCAGATCGTGGTATCAAAATCTTATTGGTCCTTTGGAATCATTTCATGCAAAATGGAAAGCTTTCACAAAGACATTGACAATATTATATGAAAGCAAGAAAACATGGTAAGAATATGAGAATAGCACATAATATTATTAAATAATGCTTCTATCCTCAAAGCACATCCACATGTAGTATTTCAGTGTCCCCATCAAATCTCCACAGTATACAGGCAACTTATAATAAGAAGCCCAGCATGGTCAACAGCACCCAAAATAGTGGGATTAGAACAACTTCCATCGTGAATTGACTGTAAGACTTTGAACAACTGCCTAACATTTTTTCTGTTTTAATTTCTTCTATAAAATGCAACTATTAACAGCCAGCCTTGCTATCTTATAAGGTAGTTCTGAGTATAAAATAAAGTAGTTGAGGAAACGTTTTGATAAGTTGAATGTCATGAAAAGACATGTTTGTTCCCTAAAGAACCTAGCAAAATCCTGATTTTAATAGTTAACTGATAGTTAATTAGTAATTATCTTAGTCTGTTTTGATAACATAAATTATAGGATACTCCTTTCATTTATAAATATTGTATTGATACTTGCTATCTTCCAGACAATGTGTTAGGCTCTGAGGATACAAACAGTGAACAAGACAAAAGGAATACAGATACAAAAGGCCCCAGTCATTCCCTACACATGCAGGCATGTGTGTGCGTGTGTGTGTGTGTGTGTGTGTGTGTGTGTGTATAGAGATATTAAGGTCTGGGACAAAAACAAGCAAACAAATACCAGAACTCTCTGATAAAGCACAGATGTGGAAGAGCAGAGATGGGTCAACTTTAAAACATGATTTCTATAAAAGTAAATTTATTTTTACTTTAGTACAATTTAAAGTAAATAATAATATATATATATCTATAAATTTGGATTTATAAGTGCTTTTCCAGAATCAGTCTATCCCAAAGTGGGGGGATTTAGATTCCTTTATGATGGGGAATGCTCCCTGAGAGGTTAGGAAGAGTGGTTTTTTTTTTTTTTAAGATTTATGTATTTATGTATTTATATTTAGAGAGAGAGTTTAGGCACAGGTAGAGGGAGAGGAAGAGAATCTCAAGCAGACTCCCACTGAGCACAGAGGCCAATGCAGAGCTCAATCTCACGACCCTGATATCATAACCTGAGCCAAAATCAAGAGTTAGACACTTAACCAATGATCCACCCATGCGCTCCGAGGAAGAGCTTTTAAATGGGAACACACAAATGTACAGACACCTGGGAAGTCTGAGACCCCCTGCAAAGGAAAGCAAAATTCTTCTGGGTAGAGTCTCTAGCATTCAGTAGTTTCTCTAAAGGAGTACCATCTAAGGGAACTTCCTGAGGTGATGAAATATTCTATACCATCAATACGGTAGCCACTAACCATATGAGAATATGGAACACTTGAAATGTCGTTAGTGATATTGAGAAACAGAGTTTTAAGTTTTGTTTAATTTTTTAAAGATTTTATTTATTTATTTGACAGAGAGACACAGCGAGAGAGGGAATACAAGCAGAGGGAGTGGGAGAGGGAGAAGCAGGCTCCCTGCTCAGTAGGAAGCCTGATGTAGGGCTCAATCCCAGGACACTGGGATCATGACCCGAGCCAAAGGCAGACGCTTATCAACTGAGCCACCCAGCTACCCAGTTTTATTTAATTTTAAATAATTAAAATTAAAAATTACATAGCCACTTGTGGCTAGTCACTACTATATTAGACAGTACAGCTCCAAGGAGTTTGTGATGTGTTTTTATTGTTGTGGTTAGTCTGTGAACTCTTTGGGGAATATATTAGGTTATATTCCCCCCCACACACCTTTTTAAATTTCATTCCTGGTGCCTTACACAAAGCCTGATACAGTGTGCTTAATAATGCCTATTAAATGGAAATGATAGAAAGATTTGCTTTTCCTGCCTTCTAACTGATTTTGTAAATACAGTGTCAATCACTTTTAAACATATTTAAATAAAATAGTATGCTGCTAACTCTACAATCATATATTCAAAATTATAATTATTGTAAAAATTATTAGAGTTTCTCTTTTAACTGAAAATTTAAGAGGTAAGAATCTGTTTTGAAAAAATATTAAAATAGACAATATTACATGATATGGTCTATGTTTTAATAATAATCTATGTTTTACTTCAGAGAAAACAAATAGTGTAAGCCTAAAACTGAACTCTTTACTTATCTGATTTTCCATCAATTTGGGATAAATCTGCTATGAAACTAATTCAGTAAATCAGTGTTTCTCAATCTCTCTTTATTTTTCTCATCACAAGCCATAGTTTGAAATACATCTTGTATCACAACTCCTGTATACACGTAAACATATGTAGAAGTAACTGAAACAAGATTTTCACAAAATAACACTTATCCTTACTTCTTGAAGTGCACTCTGACATTTCTATGCTACTCTACTCTTATTCTATTCTATTATAAACTATTCTAACTTTTTAATGGTGGTCATAGCCACAAATAGACTTTGTGACCCACTGGGATCTGAGACGTGCCATTTTTAAAACACTGCATTAAGTACGTGCTTCAGAGTGCTTTTTCATGTGTCTACAGGTATTAATTAGAACTGCCTAGTGTTTAACTTGAGAAAAGCCTGCTAATTTTACATAATATTTAATGAACAATTTTAGGGAAAACATACTTAGATTTTATCTCAATGAGATACTCACCTCCCTAAATCCTCAAAAATCACCCTGTCCCAACTTCTCACCCCAGCCTTCTGGTTCTGACTAAGACATCTTTGACAGACACCCGTTGCTAAAATCTCAAACAAAAGCCCTCCACTTCCTCAATCCAGTTGCAGAAGTTTGGTCAAGAGCACCCATGAACAGTGTCTTACCTTTATCAGGCTTCATGTTCATCATTTCCATAATAAATCCTGATGATGCATGTCTATGGCGAGGACTACTTTGAATTGGATTTTCTAACCCCTGAAACTGCATTACCATTCTTAGCTTACTCACAGCAACTGAAAATGAGACCAGGTAAGCAGCAATAGAGGCCAGAGGTTGTGTGGTTTACTGATTAACTTCATTACAGAGCAGAATATTTGTAAATGTTTATGAGAAAAGTCCTCGATGCCAAGTTGCCTAGTAGCTGGAAACCAGTCTTTTAGCTAAATATTTTGGGGGAGCACTTTCGAGTTTTAGAACTTAATAGGTAGAGTAGATTTCTATTCAGTGGCTCTAAAAGTGGATTTGGGGTCAAGTGCCATACTCTGTGTCTTGACATTTGTTCCTATCAAAAGTCTACAGAATAATATAATTTTGTTATGTCAGAAAGCACTGAAGCATAATGCTTAACAGTACAAGACCAAATGATCTGGGTTTATATTCAATGTTAGTGGAATTGTGTTCCCCAACCACCCCCCAAATTGGTATGTTGAAGTTCTAACCCCCAGACCTCAGCATGTGACATTATTTGGAGAGAGGGTTTTTATAGAGGTAGTCAAGTTAAAATATTCATGAGGATGGTCCCTAATCCCATATAACTGGTCTCCTAATACAAATGGGAAATGTAGACACTGAGATAGGCAGACATAAAGAGAAGACACTATGAAGAGATAAAGGGAAAAGGCAGTCATCTATAAGCCAAGAATAGACCCCAAGACAAGGAATAGACCCTTACCCCACAGCCTTCAGAAGGAATCAACATGCTAACCATTTGGTTTTGGACTTCTTTCTAGCCTCAAGAACAGTGAAACAATCCATTTCTGTTCTTTTTTTTTTTTTTAGATTTTATTTATTATTTATTTGACAGACAAAGATCACAAGTAGGCAGAGAGGCAGGCAGAGAGAGAAGAAGGGAAGCAGGCTCCCTGCTGAGCAGAGAGCCTGATGCGAGGCTGGATCCCAGGACTCTGGCCTGAGCTGAAGGCAGATGCTTTAATCCACTGAGCCACCCAGGCACCCAATCCATTCCTGTTCTTTAAGCCACCCAGTCTGGTCCTTCATTACAGCCTCCTTAACAAACTAATACTTCCAGACTCCCTTGGTACTCACTAGCTATGGATGTGGACAAATTACTGAACCATTTTATTTCTCCATTTCCTCACCTGTAAAATGGGGCTGATAACCATACAACCTCACAGAGTTACAATGAGCATTAAATAAGATAATATTTAATAAAATGCTTAGCACAATAGATGGCTACCCACCGTCACTACATTAATGTTATGATTACTCAGCTTTGGACTCAGGTTGTAGGGTGGCTTACTTACTGAGTAGGAATAATTCTACAGCATAATCTGTGGATATCAAGTTGTGACTGTTGGCTATTTTTTGGAAGAAAGGGTTTTAAAATAGGATTCGGTAGGCCCAGGGTTAAGCTCACACTTAATGCAGCCAGACACCTTGTATAACCTTAGGCCAGTCTCAGGTTCTGTGGGCCTCATTTGTCTACATCAACAGATGGTAAAACATAGATAATAGTTCTTGCGCTATTTCCCCTCATAGATGTGTTGTGAAGATAAAAAGACAATAAATATGAGAGCAGTTTGAAAGGCAAAAGTGATCTGTATAAATGCAATCATCCTTGCCAAGACATTTCTACAGCCTTCACACTTTTACAAGTGGTTCCATATGCATTACATCATTTGATCCTACTTTTATCCTCTGAGGAAGGTATTATTTATGATGCCCCCTATCTTCTACCATATTTTACAGACTCCACAAGGCAACTCAATGACACTAAGTGATTTGTCTAAAGTCACACAGCTAGTAAGGCATTAAGTTAGGACTTTAACCCAGGTCTTCTGACTCAAACCCCGTGGTTGAAGCACTAAGGCACACTTGCCCTCATTGCCAAGAAAGAGGAAAAGAGTGATGGTCCATGGTTATTTTTTGGTTTGGATTGTCAAATCAAGGCTTACCGTTTGCAAAGATATTCTCAATCCTCAGTCTACTTCTGACCTCATTGTCTTCTCACAACCCCAGAGCTATCCTTGCCTTAAGAGGATCATGAGTGAGAGAGCTACCCAGAGGATATAAACCAGGATAAACTATCTATGAGTTTTCCATTTTATTTTTTAAAGATTTTATTTATCTATTTGATGGAGAGAGAGAGACCACAAGCAGGGTGAGCAGCAGGCAGAGGAAGAGAGAGAAGCAGGTTCCTCACTGAGCAAGGGGCCCAATGTGTGGCTCAATCCCAGGACCCTGGGATCATGACCGGAGCTGAAGGCAGACACTTAACCAACTGAGCTACCCAGTCGCCCTAATAAATCTTTTTTTGTTTGTTTTAAAGGAATTCTCTACTGACTTTCTCAATGGCCAAACAAATGGACCTCTTGTCCTCAGAAATTGCTATACTAACAAGGAAACGAGTAGGACAATTTAGCTGATCTAGGAAACTGTCGTTCCTGAGTAAAATTCACGCAGGATATTCTCATAAGATGGACTGGACACCTTTGCTTCTCTCTCAGTGACGCCCAACAGCCTCATGCTTTTTTTTTCTAAAAATACATTTTCCTCTGCCATTCTGTGCACTGAAATAATAGCTACTAGTCATATATGGCTACTTAAATGTAAATTAATTTAAACAAATTAGAATAAATTCCTTAGTTATGCTGGTTTTATTTTAAGAGTTTGATAGCCACATGTGGATAGTGGTTATAGCATTTCGGACAAAGTGGATCTAGAATATTCCATCATCATGGAAAGTTCTGTTGGTCCTATGCCTATGGTACTTGGGAGCAATATGAATGATGCATCATTCGTGGTAAGTGGGAGCATCAGCTATGAAGCCATGAAAAAAGGGAAGTCCCAGAGCAAATATTGGCAATGCTCTTCTGAAAACTATCCTTGAGAAGTTGGCCAATAGACTTTGAGTAATGTAATATTATTGGAAAGACTTTTTCCACAGAGAAGATTAAGAAGAGTGTTCTATTTGCCTGGATCCTTAACCATCTAATTCTAATTGCTTGTCTTGATTATATTTTGGATGCCACTTATACCTACAGAACCTTAAGCAGATTATTAAACATTGTTAACTTTCCACTTTCTCACCAGTAGAAGGAGAATAATAATGTTATGTAGCTCATAAGAGTGTTGCGAGAATTAATATCAATGGCAGATAGTTATGGCACACTTATGATGTGCTAGGCATTCTTCTGAGAACTTGATTAAATAAAGCAAGTCACTCGTGTCAAGTTGAGGAATTTGTCCAAGACCATGTACCAGTAAATGACAGAGATAGACTTGAATGCAGGAAATCTGCTAACAAGTCTAAAATGTGCTTAAGCATGATATCTGACTATTTCCTGAAGCACTCAAGAAATAGTAGTTGTTACCATTGTCACAATTTTTTTTATCCCTGTAGATGTATAAATTTGCAATCTGATTTTATGGTCAACCTTTCTCAGCTTGGTTAAAATGTTTAGTTTTTAAAGCTTTTGGAATTTAGAACTCTCCATTGAGATCTGTTTCTTAGTCTGCAAGATTGAGAGCAAGGACCTGGATGGTATTATCCACCAGCTGGCCAGTTGTCTAAAATTCTTCATCTCTCTCCAGCCTTTTCCAAACTATTCATGCCTTATCAAAAGAAGCAGTAGTCCATTTTGTCATAAGTTCTCTGTCCATAGTTCTTTACCTTCTTCCATTTCTTAACTCCACTAACAAGGGTTACCAGATCTGAGATTCCTGGGAGAACAAAAACCAACCCATAGTGAATTAATAAGAATCTTATATATTGCATAAATCTGTGGAAAAGATGTGGGTAAGAAACAATATTTAAATTATGCTAAAACATAGCTCCCATTTTGTCTGAGCCAACGGTATCCTTCCATCTTCTGGAAACTTTTGTTTGTGATTTACCCATTAGAACAGAAATACATTCACTTGAGTTGAACCCAGTGAGAGAAACCCAGTGACTTCAGATACATGAAGTCAAATTCAGAAATATTCCACAAAACTGCATCTAAAGACCTTTAATTGTATTTTAAAACATCTAGCTGATTTTGTAACATCTGAAAGATTCTTTCAATTTAAGCAAAAGACATGAACAAGAATCATATTCCAAAGTGAGTATCTTCTAATAAAAATAAAGCTTTACTCAGAGAAAACAGGCATCAGTAGCTGAGAGAAGCACAAAGTAATGAAAAAATAGCTAAAGGAAAGGGATTATGGGAGATAGGCCTCCTACCACTTGCTGGGCTTCATTCAGAATGGGTCTTGGGAAAGACTATTAGATACCCTAATAAAAAAGAATATAAAACTATGGATTCCACAGCTATTGTTAGCAATGCCATAATACCAAGATGAGATAGAGTATGTGTTTCCTTTCTTAGGGCATCCGCACATTTATTTCCATACTGTCAGGTTTTGTTGGCTCCAGGAAGATTCTTTGCATTCAACAATGTTAAAATAAATAGAACTTCCTTCCCTTAATGGGTAGAGTGGTGTTTGTCATTTCAACAATATTAGTAGCAACAACTACATTGCAAACTCTGGATTAATTATGTTATGTGATGCCTTCAGAGCACTTTCCCGGACAGTCATTCAATTCTCCCAACAAGCTGTGACATGTCATCATTATCCCTGTTTACAAAGGACAAAACTAAACTTCGGAGTGTCTCCATAGCCTCCAAGACTATTTCTTTCAATTTCATTGCTTATTTCCACTCACATTCAGTGAACTTTTCCCAATATCATTGAGCTAAAAGAACCAGGACTCATTGTACTGGGAACGATAGATACGGGAGCATAAGACAGTACTTTCTATTGCTTATTCTGTGCTATTGTTAGAATGCTTTCCTATTAGTCTGAAATTCTGTGATTTTTTGAGTTCTTAAAGCACAATTTGCTAAAAGAATACATGGGTTGTATTTAACATACCATCTCCTACCCTATTCGCCATACCAAACCATAGGAAGCTATGGACTTTGCCATTATTACCTTTTATTATGCACTAATTGCATAAAGGCCCTGCCTTCTTCACTCATCAGGCAACT